GGCATGAGTTACTGTCCAGTATTCTCCTATTCTCTCTGCCTCCGTAGCATCTCTCATTAATTGCCTAACTTGTTCATCAGCCATTTTTAAACAATTCCTCTAAAACTTATTATTAAGCCTCCACAATTGTTAACTATTAAAGGGTCTTGACTCACCTTAGAAGAGTCAAGGGTGTCCAAAGCTCTGTAGTTCGTCCGGTAGTGATGGAGGATGGTGCCCCGTCGTCTCCCCAGAAGGCGCCGGAGTCTTGCGACAGAAGCTGCGACCAGACTGCCAGTAGTTCGTGCCTCGGCGTCCCTACTGCGTTGATGGAAGCCAATGGACACAGGACTTTGTTGGACGTTCTGCTGGAGTAGCTAGCTGCGATCTCGCGTTGTCGGTGTCAGGACCCACTGTTGATGTTGGATGACGTTCGATCCTCACCAGCCCCAGTTACTAGCCCACATATTTTCAGTGATTGGATTAGAAGAAGATTCTCCTCGAAGAAGCGTCTTCCCTTCAGGTGTTGTCGTCACTCCTCCTGGTCTCGAAGGTGATTAGTCTTCTTGACGAATTCGTTCACAATGACAATTTGACAATTTCAGGTTGTCTTGGCAAGATCCCGATTCACTGCCGCCATGTTGTATGGTTCGACGTGCAAGACAAAGTGGTAGGTGGACAGAGCAGTCTTGTCGTTCCATACAAACAAATTTAGATCTCTTGCGAGTATGTCCGAAAATTACGTGGATCGCTGGTAGTTGTGTTTTACCGGATTGCCAGGAAATTGCAGATGAACAGGATGTGGAGTGGAGAGAAGTCCAATCGAAGTTAGAAAAACTCAAAGTCCATCTGGTAGATAGGATAGATTTATTAAGTGAGTCGAACAGACGACTTACACAACTGGCTGCTGACTGTTGACTGTCCTCAGGAAGGTAATATTCAAAGTAACATACAGCATTGGCCCAGTCATAAGCATAAAAACTAATAACCTCTACCTCCCTCTCAGTTAGTGAGAAGTGCTCACTAAAGCTTTGTTTATACTGTCGAAGGGCTGTCAGGTTTATAGCTGTGTGTGTCTTTACTCTGCAGCCATACCCAATACTAAGAAGTTATCCTGTGGAATGTTAAGAGTTCGTGGCTATCGCTCGGTCTTGACATCTTAAAATAACAGGAGGGCTTGGTGTTTGGTCCCTATGACACTCTAAAATAAGAGAGGGCTCTGTTCCTTATGACAGCTATCCCCAAGTCAAACTCAAAGCGAAACTCATGTCACTGCAGACGGTCTGTGTTCAAACCCCATTTGGGGCCCATGACCAGATTTTTGTTACTGTCAGACAGTTCGGGTCTCTTGCTATGGGGCACCCTCTCTGACGAGAGCAGCCTTGAAGTTATCACTCTCCCAACATTCCTAAGCGACCTCGACATGTTTGTCCTAAACGCTGCCCACTTACCTCAACTCTTTTCAGCACTTACTGGTACTGAAACTACGCTGAAACAGACGTAGCGCCCACAGACAGATGGACCCCTTCCCTCGGTAAACAGAATGCCCCACTTTTGAACACGTGCATGCCTAGGACAAAACTAAAACCTTGGCCTAGATAAGGACGAGACCTGTAGCCAACAACGGCTGTGATGGGGAGGGCCAGCAGCTTTTTTTTCGACTAACCGACAAACCCCTCCTCTCGCTGAAAAGGGGGCCCCATATTAAAACACGCAAACATCTTGAAAAGAAAAATATCGTCATGGGTCTCAACGGGACTTGAGACCAAGAATTACTGTGCTGGCGAAGGTCAGCAGTAACTTAACCGACAAAGAGAGTTAAGGCTCCCACACACAGCCGCGACACCCGATAACCAGTTGGCCATGACTCACACTCAATCAGTATCTACAAGTACATGAAACGACATGGGTAGCCAAATGGAACAAATAATAGAGTTTGTCAAAGAATATGCTTTATTGTATGATACTCGTCATCCGATATACAAGGATTCACGTGCTAAGGATAGAAAGTGGAAGGAATTGGCTGTTACAATGAACAGAGACAGCAAGTAGAAAAATGTGTATATATTTATATAGGGTTAAGTATACAGTAACTGTGGGCATTCTTAGTGTAGGCTATGCATCAGTTCCGTTCACTAACAGGAATTCCAGGGGCAGTCATCAAGTTGAAGTACGCAACAAACCGCTCTCTAATGGCGTAGCTAACGTTTGGCGCCCTTGGGAGACGTAAAGGTTGGATAGGGAACATTTCTCCTTCTAATGGCTCCACTCGTAGCAGTTCTTCCCTGTACTTTTCATCACAGATTTTGAGATGTAGAAAATTATGAAGCAAACACGCTGCTGATACAATGTGTTTTATATTTCATTCTTTCAGTTCTATGGGTCTCAAAAAATCCTCCACTTCATGGCAAGAATAGGCCTCCGCCAATTGGTATATTGATTAGTGATGTCTTGCCTGATGGCTCTCAGGATTTCATCAAACCTGTCAATATTCATCCTTAAATATATGTAGAACCGATTTTCGTCCTTCAGGAGTTGGGGTATCAATGTATAAAACTCCCCCAGTTCCTCTCTTGACAAGTGCATATCATGAACCAAAGTGATTCTTCTCTTTCGCCTAAAATAGGAACACACATAGCAAGCACTTATACGTACTTAATTAGAGACTCGTTATGGAAATATTTGTACATATATGTGACATACTGAATATGTGGAGGAAAAGAACTACGCAGATTTAGTGTTCAGTAAAATACTTGCCGGGATTCACCTCCGTCTTCATCAAGAGCGACAGCTAAAAGCAAAACTCCTTCCTCCAAAGACGGATCCATGACTATTTACCGCTGCGATACCGCGCGGTCTACCGAGTGCTAATACGTAACCATATGAATACACTGTATCTATATAATATTTTCAGGTTAAATTTCTGTGGGCAGTACAGTCAATGCCATGTTGTCCGAGCTAATAAATAAAAATACTTTTTAAATAAAAATGCTTATTTTTTATTTTTATGCTAAAAGTTACTGCACTTATCGATAGTACTTCAGATCAGTAGTACACCTGTTGCTGATAACCTACGATTATAGTTTCAATCCTATTCTCTTGGCCTGCATTTGTTTTGTATAGAACTAGCTTATTTATATAGCCTATATTTTGTTAACAAAGAGTTCACTATCATTGTAGATATACAGTTCAATGTGTAATGAGATCAGCTGGAAGCGATTCGAGTCATTCCTCTGGAAACAAAGAAAGCGCATTTCTCATATGAATATCAGCATCAGTAGTATGTTTAAAATACACGCACTTTATACACACATTTTCATACAATTCGGAATTTCATACACGTATATGTGGGGGGCAGACTGTGCAGACAACATAACATAATGTGGAAAAAGTAATTTACGAAAGAACATTTCCTGTAATACTGTTATGCGATCATACAGCTTAATGCGAATTTGTATTATGTAATGTTGCAGGAGGCATTTATTTTAATTGTGGGTTACTTCTTAAAGTGGTGTAATCACATAACTGATCCGTTTTGGGTACTTGCCAGAATTTAGATTTGAAAAATCATAGAACGAATGGCCACGGTGTTTGTATTGCGTATTTTGTTTTGGTGAAACTTTATCGGGAGTTGGCAAATGGATGAAATGTTTCTTTCACTTTAAGCCTTTTCCAAGCGACGAAATTTGTAATGAATTTACAGATATTTCCTTGATACGTCCTCGCCTATTATGTTTCAGAATATCCGATATTTCCACGTATGCTATGTGCAGCAGAGCCAGTCAGTAAGTCCAGGATATTAACTGGACCTTAGAGCTTCCGCCGGCATTATAATGCCTCAAATTTTCAGAGAGAAAGAAATTTAAAAATATGCTCTTCAAGAAAACATGCTTGTAATAGGAATACTAGAGGCAGAGAAGTAACTCAACCTACGGAACTGAATCCTTGAGAGGTCGTAAATAGAGACACAAGAAGCGGCAAAATTCACTATGAGTGACCGGAAATACTTCAGTGACAGAAAACAGATTTGTTGCAATGTACGAAAATAATGAGACGCCAGTTTAAAGAGAAAAATACAAATGGAATTATTTACATAAACTTATGTAAAGTGACTACATTACGTAGCAGCGAAATTCATCGAACACAGACTTCTGGGAGACAATACGCACAGCCAACCTCCCCGAGGTTTCCAGGGTAACGGTAACAGAATCTAACGCTCTTTTCTTCGGAAGCTCCCAGCTGTATGCTGCCGTTACTACGTAACATTACGAGATGTCCAGTGTCAAGTCTTCCTCTACCGGACTGAGTATGGTGGTCCTGAGCACACTTTCAAAATTTGTTCCGGATCAGACCTGAAATTTTTTGCTTAATAACACGTAGGCAGATATTTCATTTAACTCTGTTATGTATACACAGGGTCTGCATACACGCCAATGTGCATTCGTACATACCAAGGCACAATTCGGACACATTCACACTCAAATTTGTTCTTATGCAATCGGTAACAATTCTGAATGCTGATTTCATTACGTCGCACGATCATTATAACTTTATTTTCGCTGTAAAATATGTGAGGAAAGTATTATACATTCTTTTATGGAAAAAAAATATAATTACAATTCTATTCGAAGGACTATATAATTTGAAGTCTTGGAGTGTCTTTTCAGCCATATATTAAGAATGACTTTGTCTTTGGAAACTTCTTTAATATTGTATCATATTGCTATTGGTCATGTTGGAACGTTGAGAACTGGCTCGGTGAACATCGTTCCAGATTACTTAGTTCCAGGAACTGCTGTTCGATGTCAGACTCCAGTTCCAATTGTTCTTGCAGCGCTGAGTCAATATATTCTGAAAAGGAATGAAATATTTTACAGAATAAGAATGATCCATCAAATTAAGATGTAATGGTCCCTCTAATTACGCATTTCCAGGCTCGAGACTGCTGAACTTGCCAGAGATAGAGAGACACGTGTTGGTTCGCAATTTTACGAAGTAACAATACTTGAGGATGAAAAGATTAAACTGAAATCAATCTCGTGAAGAAGTTAAGAGCATATGAATGTTGGCAAATGCTTGCTACCCTCAATTAAAATTTGTATTTCCGTTGCCTACCTAAGACCATAAGAATTCTATGTAAAACTCTGTATTTATTTTATATTTTACTTTGTATGTTTACGGAACATGGTCTCTTCGCCCTAAGGGAAGGACACCATTTTCGGGTGCTACAGAACAAAGTGCTGGAGCAACATTTGTACTTACGAGAGAGACAGTAAGAGGAAGCCAGAGGAAACTGCGGAATAAAGAGTAACATAGCTCCTCACCAAATGTTTTTATGTTGGAAAGGTCACGGAGAGCGAGAGTAGCAGGACATGTAGTGTAAATGGAAGAGATAAAATTTTATACTACACTTCTAGGAGATTTTCAAGGAAAGTGGGCATTTGGAAGATCTAGGTACAGAGGGAAGGAAAATATTAAAATATGCCACACAGACTGGGGTATGACGGTGTGAATTTGATATGTCTGACTCATAATAGGGGCCAACCGTGGCCTTCTGTGAACATATAAATGAACCTACAAGTTTAATAGAAATAGAGAGCTTTCCTTACCTGCTCAACACCCACGAGCTTCTGAAGAACGAATCTGATCCAGGAAGTTAGTTTCTTAGTTGTTTCTATCCTACGTCTGTAATGGCGTCTTACTGTATGGAAGCATGCAATTCATTGGGTTCTAACAATAAGCAGCAATTATTCAATTGGCATTTGTGGGGTACTGTTTTTTTCTAATTCGCTACTGGGGGGTGGAGTCCAGTTGGGTCCACTAGGCACTGCGGCCACTGATTGGCATATTGTACCTGTCCCGGGTGATTATATTGATGGCGAATTTGGTGGAATTAAGATTGGCTGGGGAAACCGAAGTACTCGCAGAAAACCTACCCCAGCGCCACTTTGTCCACCACAAATCCCATTTGACCAGACACGGGTTTGAACCCGGGTCGCCGCGGTGGGAAGCCAGCGACTAACCGCTTGAGCTATGGCGCGGCCATGGGCTAATGTTAGTACTAACACTGTATGCCTTTTCTTGAGGGTAAGAAATACATTTCTAGTCATGTTTAACTGGGAGGTGTACCTGGCTTTGCCAGAGCAAATAAACACTTGTAATCAGAAGCAACTTTTGTCCCAGAGATACCGGTAGAGAGCAATACAATTACAAACAGTGCTTGTGTACTGATGTTACCTCGCACTTTCCTAACCGCCATTTCTCTTTCAGTAATTGTTCTGGGTGTGTTTTCTGCTGGATGGAACAACAAAAATGGAAGATAACAGCCTACTCGCCTAAGGAGACCTGCAAATCGAAGCCTTTTAACGACTTTTATGAAAGTGTTGTTTATTTTTTAAAACTGAAAATGAAATAAATTATCTCAAAATCTATAGCAGGTAGATATTTTTTTTTCTCCCCTTGACACTACAGCCCCAGTGGGCCTAGGCCTACCTCCATGGACTCCGTTCACTTCGGTTTTCCTAGATCTTACACATACGGATTGGGCGAGTGATCAGCTCGTCGCAAGGCCTCTACCTGTAGACAAGCACAGAAAAACGCACACAAACATCCATGCCCTGAGTGGGATTCGAACCCACGATCCCGGCTTCGGAGCGAGCGAAGACAGTACATGTCTTAGACCGCTCGGAGGTAAATATTTAGAGGTAGTAATTTTTGTTTAATTTTCTAAGCTTTGTCTAATGCAAATACATCAATACGATAGGACGAATGGTTCTCGACTAATAATTTAAGAATTTTGCCTTAGGCGTTTCCAAACTCCTTTTGGGACATTTAAAATAAAAACTTCAGAACGTTCAGGTGTCCAGAACCTCACCAGTGAGGTCCTCTACCGTAATATCAAATCTGGTTTAAATATGTGCAACCGTGTGGACGTGTTTAAACAGCACACACTCCGAGGCCATACTTACGCATGCAGTATGTCGAATTCCTGAACCGTTATGCCTATCCGTTTCTTCAAAATAATGGTTATTTCTGTCACCAAAATTACATGTTCTTATCAGAGCGTCGTTACAAAGTAAACAAAATTTTCCAACAGTGTCGGCTCGATATATGATACAACTACGTCCTAAGTGCAAACACGTAGTAAAGATAAGCAGCGGCACGCACAAAAGGAGACTACACAGAATAACACCTATACAGTACTAGAAACAAGAAGAAGCCGCTGCAGCACTATAGATATAGGGCGAGTAACCCTGACATTTTTAAAATTTAAAATTTAGAGAACATTTTTTTAAAGGATTTCAAATTAGAGCCGAAGATTTTATAAGTGCTAATCACGAAGACCTATGTTTTTAAATTTTAAATGGTATAAATAAGTGCAGTGTAACAGGTACGTGAGTGTATACACCTGATGATGGCCGTTTGGGGCCGAAACATGTAGTGTATAGAGAGGAAGAAAACGAAAGACATATAAATATAGTTTGCACTTAGGATGGAGTTATATCATATATCGTATAAAGTGCAACAGGATGCTTAATTATAATACGAGTAGTGTTCGGCTCATTGCCCAGTTCGGCGCAGACAGGGAGTTCTTAGCGCAATTGAGAAAGCATAAAGTTACAGTCCTACAGTCTGTTACTTTTATTGTTTCACATGTTGGCTCTGTCACCATGTTTGTAATTGCTGACTTACAAACAACATTTCACGTGAAGTGTGTACTGTGCTATCTATATTATGTATGCTTGGCTCCAGCGAATCATTACTTATCGCCATCATACCCGTGCTGAGGTCACCAAGCTTCAAGAGAATTACCTGAACAAAAGCTGTATATTTTCTGCAGATCTGTTATCATAGGTTTACATCATGTCACACGAGCATCGCTAATGACGCTCGTTCGCCATGTTGTTATAACAAATTGTGGGAAATCAGGAACTAATCGATCACCGCTTTATAATTTGAAACAGGAGCTCCACATATGCATTGACAGAACCATAGAAATTAGGATTAGCTCATTAGCCTATTTACCTGCCTCAAGAAAAGGAGGTAAGCTAAAATTACCGGACACTTAACAATATTTACGTTAGTCACGTTTTCCTATTTTAAGCAGAAGAGTTTTTGCAATGTTGTAGCATGTCTTCCAGCACCTAGCCATTCAGAAAGCATTTCTCATTTCACGTGTGGTTATGTGGGTACAGGATGGGACTGTTACTGCCTGGCACAATGAAGTGTCGCCACATTCCTCAGTGTAGTTGCACGTGGTACTCCTCTCAGTTACATTGCCCTATTATTAGAACCTTGTCACTCAATATTTCACGTTGACAAGACGTTTTAAAAGGCAGATTAAAAATAGTTCATATAAAGAACTGGACCTTTCGAACTGTCATTGTCCTGTATGAGAAGTCACTGCAGGAGGCTACCCATTCTGAGATGGGGCGGAATGGGATCAGGAAAGTTGCGAGCTCAGGGAGTTATAAATAGCCGAAGAAACATGTAAAGACGCTTTGTTTTTTCCTCACTTGGTTTAAAGCCTTCTACCTCCAGCAGGATCATCAGGGCCCACAAATAGGCTGTATACTGTACTGTACTGTGTATACCGTTGAGTGTGCTTGTTAGCTTGCTTAGCGGCTCTCAACTTAACAAACCTAAAGCCGTTGTCGAGAAGGTCAAGAAATATCCCGCCTCTTATGGATTCCAAGGGTTCACTACGGTCTTCACAAAAGTTCACTGCTGAGTCACATGGATGCAGTTCACACACTCACACCCAATTTCTTCAACATCGATTTTAATATAGTGTCAAATCTGTCCGTACATTTGTCAAGTGGCATCTTACCTCCAGATTTCCCAACGAAAACTCTGTTGACATATTTCATATCCAACATGCTTCCTACTGGCCTATGTCTTGTTCAACGGCTCTTCTTTCTTTGGATTGCAGATGAAGCATAAATACTTACCTATATGCTCCCCCAGTAATCTTCTAACGGAGTCAAACGGGATGTACTCCAAAATGTCTTCCTCCAGGCTGGACGTACAAGGAAACCCGTCTACTTCTCTCAAAACATGGTCCAGAATTTCCGGCTCGGTTGCTGTAAAGCCCAAGCGACCTGTAACCAAGACCCAGTTAGTCTAGAGGGGTCTAATCTACTCCGTCGTGTGGACAGGCCCAGTATCTAGTCTACTCCGTTACGAATTGAATGTTCGGAGCGATAAACCTCAAATCCATTTATGACGTACTCGTATATATTTCTGCAGATTGTAAATTATGTGTCAATTGAGATTCTTAAAATCGTATATTATGTATGCATTCACTCTTGTATTGTATTGGAGGAGGGGTGGGGTTTCCCCTTGCACTTAGACCAAATATTGGTCCATTGTGCCTACCCCTTTTTGATATTCTACCAGCCTCTATAACCTACCGGTATTGGTGCGTGCCATCAGTCCCGACTCAGCCAGCGAGTTCGGCCTCTACTGGCTCAGCGGTATCTCTCGATGCTTCCCCCATCTACTAGAGGCGATAGAGACTCTTGTTGGGCGGGAAATGTCCGATTCAATTTGGCTCAGTAGTCCCCTTGGGACATCAGGTTCTTTTACGTGCCGTAAAGCTACGACACGGGACCCACGGCTTAAAGTCCCTCCCGGAGGACTCGTTCCCTGAATTTTTCCGCCGGGTTTGAACCCGCGCACCTTGAGTCATGAGGTGGGAACATTACCCCTAGACTACGGAGGCCGCTTACGTTCACTCTTAGTTCATTTCTGATAAGCAAAGGAGTTCATAATCCCCCACTATACTAAAGCAAATTTTGACTACAGCTTTCACGAATCATGAAATCATGAGGTTTCTAAAATATTTTTCTTGGAAGAGTGTCAATGAGCAACGGGTCCGAATCAGAAATATTCGTTAAGATCGGGTAAGATGTGATTTCTGTCGGCCCTGCGGTCACATATTCTCTGATCTCCAACCCTGAGAACGAAACCAAGCCCACATGAATCAACAGGTAAATTAGTTGGTTGAGGGGCTATGCTACAAGCTGGAAGGTCGCGAATTCAAGTCTCAATGAGGTAACTGGATTTTTTTCAAATGACCTAATCCTTCCAGCCTCACTATGGCCCTGAGGTCGACCCAGCCTCTAACAGAAATGAGTATCAGGAATTAATTATATAATTTTCTTGGGAGTAAAGCGCGGCCGGCGCTTAAGGCTGCAACTTTACCGCCATCTTTGAGCCGATTGTCTAGATAATGTGGGACCCTCAACGTCTCACAACCCTATGGGCCTTCACGGCCTATTATAGGGATAGTTTTACTTACTTACTTTTACTTTTATTATATACATTATGAATACTGTTATCTTCCGGCCGATAACAGCGGCCGCGCGGTCTTAGGCATGAACTGTCTTCGCCCGCTCAAACGCTGGAATCATGGGTTCGAGTCCCACTTGAGGCATGGCTATCTGTGTGTGCTTATTCTGTGTTTGTGCTTTCCTATGTGCAGGTAGTGGCCTTGCGACGGGCTGATCCCCCGACCAAGGAGTCCTACCGACTGTGTAAAAACATCCAGAAACTGAAAAAGGCGCCAAGGTCCAACGAAGGGCTTTAGAGCTGTAGATAGATTATCTTCAGGGATATAATACCGTGTATTTCCTTGAAAGTCAACCGACATTTCGGAGGAATATATCGCATCCATTTTCAGGGTCGAATAAGTAGAGCAAAATACACGTACCAGCGTAAAAACCAGTGACAAGCAGGGGCTACAGAAGATTGCACTCTTCACAACCACCACTGCTATGAGAACCTCAGACCCTGCAGTAGGGCTACTATATTCTGGAGTGTTACGAAATGCAAGATGTGATTTTAGTTAAGTTCGGAAGCTGCATCATCACAATCGCTGTCAGGCCTAACAGTAAACATTGCATTCTAATCTACTTCCTGTAGTTATTTTCCATTTCTCTCGAAAGTAAATTTCAAACTACTCTCTTTTAGTTTAAAGAATTTTTACGCCACAAAGGCCGCGCCATAACTCAAGCGGCGGCCCGGGGTCGATCCCGGGGCTGGTCAAGTGGGAATTGTAGTGGACAAAGTGGCGCTGGGGCAAGTTTTCTCAGAGTACTTCGGTTTCCCCTGACAATCTTCATTCCACCAAATTCTCCATCATCATAATCACCCGGGGCAGGTACAGTAGGCCAATCAGTGGCCGCCGTGCCGAGTGGACCCAATTGGACTCCACCCCCCACTAAACGAAATTTACGCCACGAACCAAGTGACTGATACTCACAGTCGAGTTCTTCCAGTTCAGGTCCCCCTGGCATGCTGGGAGAAGTATAGCCCGTGCCGTGGTTGGACTGACTGTCACAGCAAGACGAACCTGCAATACAATTGCATCTTATAAATCGAAATTGATGGAAGGGCCGTCAATTTGACAGTATCTGGAAAAGGGTCACTGCAATGGCTCGTTCAGTTCATGCCGTGTGGTTATTGTTACGAGGCACTCCCGTTTAAGTATCAGCTAGGGATATGCAATAGCATGTACACAAATACGTTACAGTTTATGACTCAGAAACGGATAGGTCATACGAGAGAGAGAGAGAGAGATGTAACGGTTGCTGGAAGGGGATAGGCATATGTGTTGGTTGTAGTGTGACGGAGACAGAGACAGTCTTACAATATTTTCATTTCATGAATACAGTGAGATTCTTGCTCGTTTGCACGCGGGGTCGCAACGAAAAATAGACATTTACTGATTTTATACTTCATGTTTAGATTATATAATGAAGCTGTATCAGCTGTTGATGTTACATTTTATTGAATAAGATCATGATTGAACGAGATGAAATGAGAGTCGTGGGCCATGAGAAAGAAATGTCCCTTGCTAAAGTTCTATTGTTCACTTCACTGAAGAAATTTTATAAAATTGCGAAACGCTCGTAATAATCATATTCAGTATATAGGAAAAACTGATATTGTGAAATATGGGCTGTCTGAATCACATCACATTCGAATTACTGTTGACACTTACTAATTGCAATTGGGTGATGTATTTAGGACATTTATATCTTGTAATTAAAAATAATGTGGAATGTAGACCAGCTGCTACGTAACGACAGCGAAATAAACGACTATATAACAACCATTGTTAAGTAACGGCTCCGCAAGAAACATGTCTCTACGGCAACAAGAGAAGACAGCAATATGGAAGAGTCGTATTCTACGCGGTCCGTGCCGAGATATACGTATAAGCAGGGCAAGTTGGCAGGCATGATCTGATGACTTACGCTTGCCCTGCCTGGGAACAAGCTACAGAGACCGACCTCTTAAAATTGCAGTGCCTGAAAACAAGGTTCTTCGCGACCACTGGAAATTTTTTAAGGTGCACACCGGTCCGCGATTTGCACACTGCTCTCAGCTTCCCGTAAGTACGAGTATACTAAGCTGTCGTTGTAGCAAAAGACAAGTAAGATAGATCTGATCTGCTTGGCAAAGCCAGGACTGACAGAGGGCTTTACTACAGTGCAAAAGGAAGAATGTTCAATAACCTGCTGTATGTGCTATAGCTACACCTGACAAATGGCGAAACCAATTCATAAAAGACAACTCCATCCTCTCGCCAGACAGGATGTTACATAAGGATTATGACCGCAAAAGTTTAGTTGAAAAAACAAAATCTCTGGTCTTGAGCCTCAAGGGGCTTGGCGCAAAGACGAACTGATTGGCCGTAAACCGCCAGTCGTGAAGTAACTCTGACTTTGACTTGGCATGACCTGCTTTCTAGAGCTTGTACTGACAGAGGACTTGTATATAGTACAGTGCAAAAGCAAGAATTCGAAATACAGTGGAACCTCGCTTAACGAGCATAATTCGTTCCAGAATCTTACTCGTAATGCGAAACACTCGTTAAGCGAAACAATTTTTCCCATATAAATTAATGTAAAATACGATAATGCGTTCCATGCCGAAAAAAATACTCAAAAAATTTTATGTATAACATTTATTCCAAGAAAATTATATATACATTGTTAAGGAGCGTGAATTACCTTCATCTTTTCTTCTGTGCGGAATGAACCAACCTGGAATGCGAATTCGATTTTCAGAAAAAAAAAATCAAAACAATTAGTTTATTATTTATGATACATATCTAATTCTTTTTTATTAGAAAGCTGTCTAGAGACATTTGTTTCTTCCATCGCTTCAAAATTTGGTGAAAATGCGACACAGCATTATCATTAAATAAATTTGTAGCATGCATAGCCACTGCCTTATTAGGGTGATGCTTCTCAGTGTATGATGCAACAGCTTCCCATGCTTTCAGCATTTCTCTTGTTGCACCAGAAGACTGCTTGCTTTGCTGTTACCTCCTCCTCCTCCTCTGACAAACTCTCCTCCACAACTTCTTGCTGTGAAGCACAATGCAACTCCAAATCGTGCAAATCGTTGATGTAGACCGACTGTATGTGCTTGCTAGATCAGCCACGCTCACACCTCGTTCTCGCTTTTCAATGATTTTACGTTTCATGTCTACGGTTATTTTTATTCTCTTATGGCTGTCTTTTTGCGGCTTTTTCTTCGGGGACATTTTGCAAGGGTTATTAAACTTTGCACAAAAAAAATTAAAAATAATATGTCTGAACACAAGTTTGGAAAAATGTGTGATCACAAGCGACACTAAGAGCTAGCGGAACGAGTGCTGAACACAGACTGATGTAGCAAGCGCACAATCCGGGACTTCCCCTCTCGTGACTCGTTATGCGAAACGTCGCTCGTTAAGCGAGTCTTTTTTTTTACAGTTTGTTTTACTCGTTATGAGAGGCGCTCGTTAAACGAGGTTCCACTGTAATATATATTATGTAATATACGTGTGCGATATGTGCTCTTGGAAAAGGCGAGGCATGTACACAAGAGACAAACCAATCCTCTCGTCAGAGAGGCTGTTACATAAGGACAATGACCATAAGGGTTCAGCTGAAAAAAAGACCTCTGGTCCTGAGCCTCAATGGGCTTGACGTCAAGGCGAACAGATTGGCGGCAAACCGCCAGTGACGAAGTAATTTTGACTCTGACTCTGTTACAATTAGTGGAGTGGAAGGAAGGACAGGAGGCTAGAGCAGCAGAGTGAATCAGTAAGCCAGCGAGAAAAACGTACAGCGGACAATTTCTACACAGAGATACCGGAATAAACTACACATAGTGAATTGACGGCCTTCTGTTTGCTGCAAGCAGTGCGAGTGAAGTCTGCAGCCTGGCCGCATGGCTGTGCACATCACGTGCCTTGTGCGGTTCCCGTGTGTAGCTGTTAACAGTAATAGTAGCGATAACTCTTACTATGGCTAATGTACACACCCCAGGATTTCAGGAACTGTGTTCAAACCTGATTGAATCTCTGAGATTGGAATATGAAAACATCATAAAATAACATCCTGACACCGATGGAACGTGTATGCGGATACTCACCTAGCGGGATGTACCCCTGCGTTAGTCTGCGATATTTCGAAATGGACTCTAATTGCCCAAAACCTGGCGGAAACCGGGAGGAACCCCCACGAACTTCTCGCCGCAACATAGGAAACAGCCAAGACCGCAATTACAGCACCTCCGTCCATTGAGGAATTCCGTGAGCAAAGAATACAAAAGCGGAAACCTAAAGACAAAAGAGCCGAGAAGCCTCAAACATCCATAACGGGAGCCAAGAACCCCAAATTGCGGTCGAAGTATGAATTTCCCGGCAGGAAATTTTAGAATCACTGAGGTCAGATGAAATGAAGGCTAAACATGGAAGCGATGCGGATAAAACCATCAAGCGTCAGCAACATCAGGCGCCAGCCAGCCACGGCCTCCCATTGTACTGACCTCTCAAGTAAACATTGTACAATTGCAAAGGCAACTGAAGGTTCAGTGAAATGCAACTTTCAGTTCTATAACACCAAGAAAGAGAGCAGAGTTCTCACGCAGAAGATGGCGGATCTTTCGGCCATCTTCTTTCGCTTCGAGAGCAATAACCTCCCCTACTTCGCCTTTTATCCCAAATCCCAGAAGCCTGTAAGGGCTGTCACACGGCACTGTCCAGGCTCAATCTCTGCAGAGGATATCTCATATGGATTGGTGATCCATGGTTTTGATGTTATTGGAGTCAAACACACGTCTACCACCCGTCAATCACCTCCAGAAGGAACGACCGCAGTAAACATTACCGTCTTCCTAATAACCTCACCTAGGGCGGCGAAGTACAAGGAAACAATGAAACTGTGGAGCCTCTGCCGTCCTGCAATCAGGGTAGATGCGTACAAAGCCCAGACTGGTCACACGCAGTGTTACAACTGCGCTAACTGCTAGCAGCCCCCCCCCCGTATGTAGTGTGGGGGGCAGTCACCTGCACAAGGGGTGCCCGGAAGGGGTCAATACACCACCGATACCGACACGCTGCAACTGCAAGTGGCTGGACGGAGGGGAACCTCATCCCTCCAACTGTCTAGGCTGCAGGCTCGTCAAGGAAGAGATGTGAAAGAGAGAGTCGCAGAGAGCGCCCAAGGCAACAACGGGAAGGGCGTTCCCTTCCGGCCACACCAACTCAAGGCTGTCCTTCGCGGCTGTGCCACGCACAACATGCGGCCGCCCTCAGTTGCACAGGCCTGCCCTGCCCTCCTTCCCTCGAGGCACAACCAGCAGGTGTCAGTTCAGCCAGTTCAGACTTCTAATGCAAAGAGATCGTTTCTGAACGACATGTTCACAGTAGTCGTAACGATATTTCAGCAAATCTTGACGTAGATCAATGGGGCCGGGTTAGAAGAAGACAGAATAATGGCAATTTTAAAATTTGTATAACAAATCAGGAAGCAGAATGGCCAATAGATTTCATAGGTGGAAAATATGACTGCGCTGGCGAGGACCAGCAGCAATTATAAATGACAGACCCGTCCTTTCGTCAGAGAGAGCGCCCCAAGTCAACAAACCGACAACTGTCTGACAATAACGAAAATCTGTGTCTTGGATCCCAGGTGATTGCTCGACATGGAGCAAGCAAGCCTGGCCGACTGACCATCGGTCGTAACATAACTCTGACTTTGACTTTGACTTGTTGCAGTTAGTCAGTTAGTCAGTGAGCGAGCAAGTTAGTTAGAGGACCTGTGTGGTTCAGCTGTTGTGAGCTAAGGCTGTGAGAAGCTGGTAGCTGAGGCCGGAGACAGTTCGGGAATCCAGAGCAAGGGGAACGTATTATGTTCGAAGCCGCTACCAAGCAATGGCAGTGAAGATGTGACTCTGAATACTGGTGTGTTTTATCAGTGAACTGTGAAGAGTAGTGACGCGTTGTGTACTAAAGTGTCCCATATATCCGGTCCTCAATGCAAACCCCGCCTATAGTCACTCCATCATGAGACTAAACCGACTAAACTACAGATACAATTAAACGAAAAACTGAAGGAAGATTACATTCGGGGATACTTAAACTTTTAACGCAAAGTTTATGACTTTCTCTTAGGGGCTGAGGAAAACAAAGAAATGAGAACAGTAGGCTCAGGAATTTATGACTAATCGATTTACGGTAGAGTTAACATTTAAGTGCTTACAATTTTATTATTAAACTGAATTATATATTATTACTTACAGGTGAGATAGTGAAGTCCTGCTGCAATTTAAGATCGATATAATCCAGAATCTAGAAATAATGTTCATTTCCTCCTTTAGACAAAATGGAAGCTATTTATTCTAACCAGGCAAAATTTATTCGGGTTCTTGCGGATTAGAATGCTGATCATTTTAATCTCTGCTGTGAATCAAACGCTTAGTGATTTCCGTGCAGGAAAATCCTCCTGCAGGTAACAGCAGTCCAGACAAAATAATCGTGTATCGGACAAAGAAATTTAAACTAGTTTCTTATAGTAGTTACTATTAAAATGATAGAAGAAATAGCTACAAATGTAGCTATTACAAATGTATTACAAATGTAATACAAATGTATGTATTACAAATGGAGAACAAGTCCACCGTCTGAGGTGACTGCTTTTAACCCCTTTGGTTTGTAACATTTCTTGGCGACTTAGTTGTCGCTACTGAAACGCAAGGAACAACTAATTTACAATTTATAACCGTGAAAATCTATAAGTGATTTGACTGACGTTAAGTAACACACTTATACCCGAAAGTTTGGTTATTTTAAACGAGATCTCCCGTTTACGAATTAAGATGTTCATCAGATAATCATAGTTAAATGGCTCACACTTGTAATATTTGACAGGAATTCGTAAGGTCGGCGAATCACTGTCCAGCTAGACAATTTCAATGCTTCATTAGATATCGCCATCAGACCGGAAGCTAATTCCATACTACGAGTATGTCATGTTTCATACGGTCCGGCCGCCTTCTCATGTTTTCAAGTATTTGCCCTAAAACAGTCTACTTTCGGCAATCTATTTGCACGATATTTTTGGATCCTAGGCTAATATTGCCCTTTCAACGCCATACATAGCCACGGCCGCCATGTTAGTACCATTGGTGGAAGGAAATTGAATAAGAAAGGTGGTTGCCTCTAATTTTATGCTGTTCCTTGCAGATTTCACTACACTCGGTGAATTGATTCAAAAGTTACGAAGATGAACAGGCAAACGGACTGTCACGGGAACGTGATTTTGTAAACCTCTCTTTATTTATAATTAAAACAATTGCGCCAAATTTTATTATCTGCTTGTGATCCACTCTTAAGGGACATGGCATGTTCTAAACGCAATATGAAGATTAAAATGGCGGTCTTAGGCACGAAACATTTTCGCCTACTTAACACTGGGATAGCGGTTCCGAAGCCCACGTGAGGCACGCATGTGCAGGTGCGTATTTTCTGTCTGTGTTGTCCTGTGTAGGTAACAGAATTGGCTGATCCCCTGTCCAAGGAGTTGTAGTTTGCAGATTAAATTTAAAATGCAAAACGCCAGACATCCTAATCCTCCAACTGAAGAAGTAAACGAAGGAGGAGGAGGGGATGGAAGTGGAAGGGGAGAAAGAATGCAACATTTTGCGATCCTAGTTTGGTCGGTGGGACAGAAGGCAACTTACTTGCTGGATATCTTTTCACCGACGACTGATCCAAGGCGGAAGAGTCAGCAGCATCCCTTGAAGCAGAAGACACCGAGTGCTTCCTAAAGTGCTCTGCCCCCTGTTGGGATTCCGGCGCCATATGAACACTCTTGTCTTCGCTGCGAATCTGAAAACCAATTATAGCTTTGTTCAATATCGAGGTTGAAGGGCCTATTCAAAATAAATCGGTATCAAATTAGGTCTCTTAGTTCTGGGAGCTTTCATAGAAATCATTTGGAAGGACCGAAGCACAATTCAAGATTTGGATTTCAGAGGAAGGAATGAAATTGTTGCTAAGGGCAATTATGAAAGTTACTAGTTCTGTTTTTTGTTTGAATGCATGTGCTTTTTGTTTCCCCATTTTGCTTGTGATTATTTTGATCTGTTAGCTGTTGAGTGAGCATGTAAACAAGTGAATAATTGAACTGGACTGTTTTTCCACATTTTATATAGAATTTGGACGTGTTTCCTTCATGGGCTAAGCAAAGGCGCCTGAATTTTCTGGTCAAGAAACGAATCTTATTATTATAAACGTTGGTGTAACATTTCGCATCTATATCTTACGAAACGGAATGATAAATCGAGTTCTGCGAGAAATGACAACTTGGTTTTCCACAAACAACCTGAATACCAGCGACGTTATCTCTACATTCACTGGCCGAGAGGCACTTGAACTAGAAAGCAACGATTCAACCCTTCGAACATGGGCCATTTCAACTCCTAGTCACATTTCTGAACAAATATTCTTTCCACCCGTTTTAGTATTATACTCTCAATCCTGTATACGAAATCGGAGTAGTCGCTCGTCAAATGCACGTATTTCTCGCGTCTCTCACTCGAGCTGTATATTCATCACAACTGTCCCAAAGCGTCAGGAAATAGATGTCAGACTTCTTGGTCGAAGACTTTGGATATACCTGCAGTCTCCTAAAGCCATTTTTGGAAATTCACAAAATTATTTAAAGTCAACTTATACACACTGGTGGCACCCGTATTGTAGTTGGCTTAGGCACTATGCTACATGCTGGTAGGTCATGGGTTCGAATCCCGATGATGTCATTGGATTTTTCAATTAACCTAATCCGTCCTTCCTGTGGCACTGTGGTCCACTCAGTCTCCAACATAAATGAGANAATTATTTAAAGTCAACTTATACACACTGGTGGCACCCGTATTGTAGTTGGCTTAGGCACTATGCTACATGCTGGTAGGTCATGGGTTCGAATCCCGATGATGTCATTGGATTTTTCAATTAACTCGTGTTGGAGNACCACGAATCTTCCTGGAGGGTAAAGGGCGGCCGGCGCGTAAGGCTGACAACCTCACAGCCATCTATGAGCCGAGTGTTCAGAAAATGTGGAAGCCTCGACGTCTCAAAATCCTATTGGCCTTCACGGCCAGTTATAGGGATAGCTTTGTTTTTTTTACACATACATACTTTCAAAACAAAATTGAAGAATATTTTATAACAGTTTCTATTTACAAATATCTTAACACATTGCTTCGGCAAATGAACCATGTTTAAGTAGGATAAAAGCCTTGTCTCTTAAATATGAAGCCGAAAATTCGGCATACTCGTGTTGGAATCTGGTGGGAAAGGAATCAGTGAGCGATAATACCTTCTTGCGCGCTTGCACTTGCTCCTTGGTGGTGTGGTTTTTGACGTGCTTTCTCAGCGAGCTGGGGTCTGTGTAGCGCTTGGAGCAGCCCTCAACCTGACAAGCATACGGCTTCTGCGCAACAGAGCACCACACAAAACAGTCAGTAATGCAATTTGCACCTAAATGAATATTTGTGTGCAAATGGGAGCTACAGTTGCTGTTTGACAGTGCCTACGCAACACTGCGGGTAAACATACACTCCAGAATTTGCACTGTCACTACAATGCTAACTGTGCGTACTACATACTCTTAGAATGCTTTCATCTGGGATGTTACAACGTGTAGTCTGATAGATATTGGAACACTTCTAAGATTAAACCTCGGAAAATAGAACATTTCATAGGTACCAACAAGAGAACTTCACCTTTGCAAAACTTGTTTCAGAATTTTGCTCACAGATTTCATTTACGGATTTCCTACGGTTCTAAAAATAAAGAGCAATAATTCCCTTAAGCAGCATTAAATTACTGATCTTTGTAATGGAGGTGCATTATGTTATCTATAAGGTAGGGACTGAATTCCTCTGTGAACTTCAGGTTTCAAATGGTTACAATTTTCTATCTTTGTTTGTAGCAGTACGAAGTATAAATTCTTACTTTTGATTAAGTCTGAAAGTAAGAATGGAAATCTAAGTCTGTACTGTTGTTCTGTAGAACAATGAATTATCATAAGATTCCTGGAAAGTGACTCTTAAAGAAATATGGTCTTCATATAACATACTGTGGTGTATAGACCCGTTGCTAAGAGGTGACTGCTTGTACCGGTTCTCACGGTCTCTTCGCTTGCGGATTTCTTATTTTTCCTTCTACCCTGAAGATGGAGGCGATACGTTCCGCCGAAACGTCGGTTAACACCACATCTACACGGTGTCACATCCCAGAAGACTGCTTTCTTCATAGTCACCGCCGTGAAAACCTCAAATCTTACAAAGACACATATGTTCTCTCAGGTTTAAAACTGAATATTAGGGCTAAAGAAATGCAAGCCTATAAACCTTCCACTGCAATGTAATGTCCGCTCTTGCAACAAGCGCACTTCTCGGTTCTGAGACACTCAATTCTGATATATTTCATTTTCATATATCAAAATGTTTAATGCCTATGAAACTTTCATTGCAAAATCGAGATTTGTTTAGTTTTACAAACCAGGAGAAATTAGGTTCAGGTAGGGTGTAAATATTGAAACTGATCTTAGAGAATAAGGCTTAAAGTGAACTGAAAACATGAGAGTCAAATTGGGGTTCAATGACCGGCTTTCATAAAGACGATAATGAAAATTCGAGTTCCTAGAATTAGAAAATATCTTGATCATCTGAATAACCATGAAGTTTTGGAATAGGATCCATTTTTTTCCTTGGCACTACAGCCCCAGTGGGCCTAGGCCTACCTCCATGAACTTCTCCGTTCACTTCGGTTTTTTCTAGATCTTACACATTCGGTAGGACTCCTTGGGCGGGTGATCAGCTCGTCGCAAGACCTCTACCTGTACACAGACAGAGAAAAACACACACACACTCAAACTAAACATCCATGCCCTGAGTGGGATTTGAACCCACGATCTCGGTTTCCAAGCGAGCGAAGACAGTTCATGCCTTAGACCGCTCGGCTACCGTGACCGGCTAGAGGATCCTTTACCTTGGGAAAATGAGGAAGTTGTGGCACACACAGTAACTGCCCATCACCAAACGGAGTCGGATTCATCAATTTACTTGTCTTCTACCAGCTGCTGAAGGAAAGAGGACTTGCTTCCGAAACATTATGGCTTACACGCTAACACTTTCTAGTTTGTTTAGCGACTCTGTAACTCAGACTATGCAGCGTCTATTGATTGGATGGNCCTTAGACCGCTCGGCTACCGTGACCGGCTAGAGGATCCTTTACCTTGGGAAAATGAGGAAGTTGTGGCACACACAGTAACTGCCCATCACCAAACGGAGTCGGATTCATCAATTTACTTGTCTTCTACCAGCTGCTGAAGGAAAGAGGACTTCCTTCCGAAACATTATGGCTTACACGCTAACACTTTCTAATTTATTTAACGACTCTATAACTCAGACTATGCAGCGTCTATTGATTGGATGGTAGTGAGTAATGGATGTGGAAATAAGCAACCGCTGCTCAGTTAACATAAGAGGAGTGTTTACAGCGACATTGCATAGCAACGGTCGCGGCACGGACTCCATAGAAAGCCAGTCACCTGATAGCTGTCTCACCAATCCATTGGCGTGTTGACTGTTGCCTAGCAACGAACTATAAACATTAATTTTACTGTTGAGTGCACTTACGCGACTGAAGGTTGTTTACAGGTTATTGCCTAACAACAGTGTGGCCATCCAGCATTTGCCTGGAGGTAGGATAGTGAGGATGGTCGGTATCCCAGCCAAACTCGAACCAGGAACCTTCCGAATACGAGTCGCAAGCGTTTCCGCTTGAGCTAACTTGCTCGTTTACATCACTGTAGGAATTACTTTAGATTTCTGTTGCCTTCGTTCCGGGGCTTGAGGACCTCTTCCCCTTGAGGGCGTGATGCTTAAGCACAAGGAAAGCTTCACGTCTAGTTGCTGTACTGAACTGATGTACTCACCGTGTCCACGTGTGTGCGTTGGTGCTTGGCCCGGTCCGAGCTGTTGCTGAATGCTTTCGTACAGCCAGAATACTGGCAGGAATATGGCCTCTCTCCTGTGTGAGATCTCTGATGAATCTTCAAGTTTTCAAGCCTGGAGAAGGCTTTTGTGCACCCCTCAAACTGTAAACATTAAGTTACAAATCATAAATATTGTAATGAAGTTTCGTATTCAAACGTTCTTTTGTCAAAGTAATATTTTCGCGTGGACGGTTAATTTGCTATCCGTAAGCAACATACAGAATCTGCACAGAAGACTCATACACAGAGGCAGAAAAGGTCCAATCTGACGGCCCTTCCGGTCTCCAGACAACATTCCATTGGACTTCAATAAGGTTATGTCAAAGAGCGTTTTCCCACGTGAGGCGCGGGTGTTGTCACGGCAGAACTGCAGGAAAGGAACTGGTACGGCAGTACAGGCCGAACACAGCTTGAAATGAGCCTGGAGAAATTTTGAGTGCAGAGCTGGCGGAGATGATGCAAGTTTCATCTCCTGTATTTTTCAAGTCATCAATGAATGAATGTATATAATGTCTGTGATAAAAATTGTTATTTATAACTTTTTCTCACCATATGTTTCAATCGCGGGAGCCGGAATAGCTCGGTCGGTATAGCGACTGGTTACGGGCTGGACGACCGAGGGGTCGAGGGGTCCAAATCGTCCAGACCGGCTCTGGGGTTCACCAAACCTCCTATCGAATAAGTACCGGGGGCTATTTTCCCCGGGTAAAGCGGCGGGGGGGGGGGGGGGTGAAGCTAACTACTTACCTCCAGCTAGTGCTGAGGTCAAGAAAATGTGGATCTATACATCCATTCCCCCATGCGCCTTCATGATGTACCTTTTACTTTTATGTTTCGAGTGCATGCGGTCATCATCAAGTGAAAACACAAGCACGTTATCGCTCAGACATACATAGACTGATTCCTTGTGAAATATAATGATATATAAAAGCACAACAATAGATAGAAATTTAGATTGGTGGAGTCTGGGTTAGTCATTACATAAAGCCCATGAACAATATTAAGTTGTTTTATAAAACAGTAATTATGACAAAAATATTTCTTTAGTCACTTTTGTATTCGAATTTATGTTCTGTAACCATGTTAAATGACTCTTCGGTATCCACCACATCCACTCCCCCATACGCCATCATGACGTAGAACTTAATTAGTTAAGCCCGGGGATAACTTTACCTTTAGCTTTATCTGTGCCTAGTCATGGTTCACAAACACCTTCCCATACCTTGCTAGATGCTTTATAACTTCAAGCATCCGCACAGTGGAACGTTCAACATGGGCGCGACGGAAACACAAGGCGCAGTGTCCGCGAATTACGAACATAACCTGACGGGGCACGCGATAGCGTAGTTGGTTGCAGCACTATGCTACAAGCCTGTAGGTCTCGGGTTCGAGTCCCGATGAGGTGGATTTTTTCAAATTAGCTAATCCTTCCAGCCGCAGAATGGACATGTGGCCAATTCAGCTTCTAACAGAAATTAGTACCCCCCTTCCCGGGGGTAAAGGGCGGCCCTTGCGTAGGACTGACAACCTCACTGCCATCCGTGGGCCGACTCTCCTATGGGCCTTCGCGGCCTGTTACAGGGGTAGCTTTACCTTATTTTTTCTAAATAATCAACTGTATGGAACAAAATATTTCTTCAGAAGCTAATACTTGCTCATTTACTCCAAAAATTCTCCGCCTTTCATGGAACAACCCGAAGTTCACAGGAGCTCTACCCCGAGGCTTGTGTAATATTTTGTAACATTCTGTATTCCTGTTGTGGGAAGTTGTTTGCCCTCTCTCCAGATATCGGCTGCTTATCTAATTATTTCTCAGCTGCAATCCGTGTCTTTAGTCTGTGTCCTCCATCTGGAGCCCGTGCCGCGCTAGAAGTGAAACAGCAACAGCGGAACGCAGTTTCATTCATGACGTCACTATAATATATTTCTGGTAATTTTACCCACCACTAGTATTTTTCTAAACTATGATCTCTGATGTGATGCTGAAGAATCTAACCTGAAGATGGAGACAGCACATTCCTCCGAAACATTGCTATCTATATAACCAAACTATGTCACACAGCCATTCTCGCCACAATGATAGCTTCAAATCTTTTTCTTTTCAACAAGAAGCTGTTCCCTGTTAGTGACATTCAAGTGGCTAGTTCCTTCACCTCTTCATCTTGAGGACCGGATGCACAAGCAGCAGAAAGTGGAGTGCATAATTCTCTAGCGGATTTCGGAGTTCTGTACTGACATTCAGGACCATTGCTAGAGCTCCTCGTGGGCTGGATCCTAACGACGAGATATTCGAACCTCTCTCGCATACATTATGCTGTCTCATAACCTGTCTTCGTTGCAACTATTTTCATCAGCTTCAATCATTGTGCACCTACTCTGCTCGTCGCTTGGAAAGTCACGACTCCAAATATTTTGCAGTCTAAATTTCAGTTACGTTAATCAATCTCTTAAAGTTCTTAGTTATAAACGAGCATTTTACCAAGAAAGTGACACCAAGACAATTATATGAACTGAAAGCAAATTTATTATAAACTATCCGTTGAGCTTTCAACGGAAAACCTCATAATTTCTTACATAATCTTTCACAATATTAACATCTGTTTTCTCCCGTATTTCTTTCAATCTCCCTCGAATAACAAGCACAATCACTCAGTCGTAGATCTATCCTTTCTGTAGTATACTAAACTTCATATTTCCACATCCGAACATTATGAGCCCTCAAAGAATTGGATGATTCACTGACAACGGAAACTGCTTCTTTGTTACTGAGTTGCTAGTCAACTCCTTTCAAGGAAAATGTTAATGCTAGACAATTCGATGCTGCGTAATGACAATGATAAATCTCACACGGAACTTACGTATATATACAGGGGATTCACAGCTCTAGGGCAGTATTTAAGGAGCTTGCTTCGGAGATCGACTAGAGATGATAATATAAAAAAGTTTTTTTTTTCGATTCGCCACAATTAGGGATTTACGACGTTTTTACGTTGATGGCACTTTTTACAATTTTGATGGTAAATTTAAAAAATGGAATAAATTCTTTCAACATCATATGTCAATTGATTTCGTTATTTGCAATTAAAGAAAGAAAAAAGAAAGAAACTTTACTTTGAAGTACTTTTCAACTGTCACTTCAAAGCATATAATTCTGAGTACATTGTATCCGTTTGGTGTGGACGTGTCATCGTACTGAATGTCCATCAGAATAGACGTTCGGAGTGACCCCCCTCCTCCTGAACACACCCAGAAACGGGCTGCTTACCAAGAATCTGTCTTCGCGGAACTGTATTTATCGAGCTGTTGACTATAAACGGATTGCATAACCACGTTGTTCTATTGTTGCGTGCGTGTATTACTTAGCAACGGCTGTTTCTGTGACTCAGCAGTTCTTGCATGGAGCAAATGCGTCACAATATTACTACTGTGTCATCCAAAGCCCTGTTGCTTTCTTATGAAGAGTCATACAGAGTAGCACAGGACAAGAAGCCGCACACGATAGTGTGATACTCTCTGCTGCAATAGACATGGTACAATGTTTGGTGTAAAACGTGCTCAGCAGCTTCGCAATATACCGCTGTCAAATAACACGGTCTCTCGACGTATTGCTGTTATGTCAGGAGGCTTAGAAGAACAGCTGCTTGAGAGGTTCAGAAACAAACGCTTTTCAACATATCTTGACGAAGAGACTGATTGTAATGGTATTGGCCAATTGGTAGCTTACGTGTGATATGTTGAAGATACAATAATTAATGAAGATATGATTTCCTGCTAACTTATAAAGAGTAAAGCAACGGCAAAATAACTCTTAAAAAATGTTGAACATTTCTTGAAAGAAAACGCATAAAGTGGGCAGATTGTGGCGGAGTATACATGGATGCAGCTCGCGTAACGCCGGGAAGTGAAGAAGGGCTGCAGACCATAATTAAGCCATCAGGAGCAGAAGTCATGTGGACGCTGTGTGCTGCATCCTGAATCACCGGCTAGGAAGGAATTATGCCCAGAACTGAGTAGAGTCGTTGTTAAATTGTAAACTACATAAAGATTCGTAGATTGAAAAGCACAATTTTTGTAGAATTATGTGAGGAAATGTGGGCACAGTATCAGTCATCCCTCTGTTATTGTAATTCTCATTGGCTATCTGGAAGATACATTGTGGCTCGTGTTTACAACTCGCGAGAAGTAGCACTGTTTTTAGAAAAGGAAAATCTAGTACATGCTGAACATTTCGAAATGAACATTTGTTTCTAAGTTAGCATACTTATGCTATATATTTGGGATGTCCGATACATTGAACACAAGTACAGATCATAGGAGTGGCTGATACAGTGAAGGTACTTATTCGGATGTTGGACTTGTGGATCAGAAAATTAGAAGAGACAAATTTAGGCATGTTCTCTCGTTCGAAGGATTTTGTCGAGGAAGACAATGTGGAAAGAAGAGACGGTGGAATTGATCAGCAATAATTGATGAATACAAATCGATCAGGGATTCATTCCATGCTGATGCATCCAAGAATTACGACTTTTTGCTCTAAGAAGAACACAATTGTATTGACCTTATACGTGATAAAGTTCAGTTTCCTAGGAAGTGGCACATAGAGTTTTGTGTGGGCACTTGAGGGGAGTCCCCCCTTCGTTTCGTAACATCCTACCTGCGCGAGACTGGGTTTTCAGCCATCGTAACAAAGTATCAATCTAGCATGAACGTGGAAAACGACCTCAGAGCGGCCATTTCAAAAGGCCAACCTCGGTATGATAAGTCGTGTACAAAGTGGCAACCACATCCATTCCACTAATCCAAGTACGAAGCGCATGTTTTATTTCTGTCCTTTAAATTAATGCATTGAATAATAGATAGAGAATTATAAAGAAATATATTATCGTAGCTATATTTTATGCCAAATATATTTGCACTTGTTCTGGAAGGGAGAAGGGGTATGCAATTTATTAAGATTTTTAAAGGGGCCGTAACGTATGAAACTTTGGGAACCTCTGCACTAGAAAGTATCAAAGAAGACTTTTTATTCTAAGTGAACTTGACAAGGGAGAGAATAGATCTGAAAAGTAACTTCTGTAGTTTTTCGTATTTTCTTGTGCATTTCCTCTGAGCCGGCGATTCTCAAGTAAATTATTTTGACAATTGTTGTAATATATTGCTCTGAACTTACTGGACATTTGTTGGGCTTCTCTCCCGAATGAACCCGCATGTGTATTAGCAGCTTGTAGCGGGCATTGAAAGGGCGCGATCTTCTTGGACAGCCCTGCCAGAAGCACGAGAAATCCTCAGCTTTTCTCAGTTCAACGTGACTCTTCTCAATATGGTGGACTAGTGACTCTTGATCGGGGAACACTGCGTAACAGTCGATCCATCGACATTCCAGTGCGCTGCCACCTGGTGAGAAAATATTGCATATTGTTCAGGAACTGACGGCGGTGATTTTTAAGACACTGGTCTTCTGGGTAGTGACAGCATTGGATACAATGGATATTGGAGATGGGTATCAGGATTTGGGAGGAACGTGTGCCTCCATTCTCACGTTTGAAATGGCTGACGGACTCCCATCCTGAATGCTGAAGCAGCATGTCCCTCCGAAAGGTTGGTACCCACCTGCAACTGAACAGGATGGCACAATACAAAGCACCGCAATCTTGATTAAAGATAAAAAAAAATGAAAGTATTTAACTCGCTTTCAGGATGTCTGAGTGCAGAAGTTTATAATAAGTTTATATTTATGATACTTTAGTGCGTATGAGTCACTAGCGATTCACTGAGCTCCAGCCACCCGAACAGGTTCGTGCTGTGAACGCTTTAGTTTTCTATTTGTGAGATGCTCATTTCCAACCTCGCTCAGGGCTCCGAATATCCTGACCGAGGGTTTTCCTGGTATTCCTCAGTCCCTCTCTGCAAATACTTGGCTAGTACCTCGATCAGACAGTGATCACTTTCTTCAGACCATTTAAAACTCAGTATTCGCCATTAATTGTACTTTTCGACAACACAGAGGGGCCCAAAATATGTATACACAGTTTTATAAAGATTATCTACGGATTTTCTCGAAGTTGAACCGAAATATAATGTACGGTATGTAGTGTGATATCCTCTCAGACGATGGTGCTGGTCAAATGAATGCCAGAGTCACTCTATAGGGTGGCAAGAGAGTGAAAGAAAATGGCGGCGGAACTGTTGTCATTCGAGAAATACAAGATAATTCTGAAGTGGTATTGGAACCTTGAAAATCTGTGGGAAGTAGAGAGAGAGAGAGAGTGACGGCGTCCATTTGCAAGGGAGCTTGCAACACGATACCAATTGCAGGCAGTCATGATACGTTTGAGGGGAATAGCATAGTGCATGATGTGCACAAGCAAGGACTTGGGAGATTTTGCACAGCAATGAGTCCCGCTTCTTCTGCTATGATGGTAGAGCACACGGCGACCACAGAAGTCCGCAAAACAATGTACACGTGAGGTAAGATTAGTAGATCACCACAACATTACGTCGAGGCGTCAGAAGCTACTTCAAAGGGTAGTGTTGAGTGTCCCCTCGACGTTTGCTTGTGGGCTCCCTAAACACGTGACATGGAGACGTGACACGTGTGCCGCTGTCCCAGTAGACACCTTGGCCACAGTTGCTTCTGCACTAGTCCACCGAACTGAGAAGTGTCTATACAAGCTAGTAGTGGGCACTTGAAACACTTCATCTAGTCCAACATGTGTCTGTTTGTATCAAGTTTGGATTATCAATAAATTATTTAAGGATATATTTTGTGTGTTGAACTTTATTGGGTCCTATATGTTCTGAGTTATTGATACCATCACAAAATCAACCAGGAAAAGAGAATTGACTTGATATATTAACATTTCATAAAATTACAAAATAAACTAATCGGGGGCGCAAGAGTGTGCGGTATCTACGTTTCTACTTGGCACATTGATATCCATGAAAGGAGAAGACCTGACTCGCTAAAATCAACACGAGCACAAATAAAATTAGTAGCTACATTTACGTCACTCCAGTAGACACAGTCTCAAGTGATATACAATCGCGAATGCTTGATTTCTTTTGGCTGAAAGTTTCAGTTGGCTCACATTTGTGCGCCCCATTTTTCTTTCTTTGTTTCTTTAAGGAATCTTTCAACTACTAAGATGTTACTACTTTATGGTAGTGGTTTATTTATCGACGCTCTCGTGCGCGTCTATAATTTGTTATAGTGATAAAAGTAAGGTAAAACTATTCCTGTAACAGGACATGGAGGCCCATAAGCTTGTGAGACGTTGAGGGCCCCACATTATCTAGGCAGTCCGCTCACAGATGGCGATAAGGTTGTCAGCCTTACACTCGGCCCGCCATTTACCCCCCCCCCCTCCGGANAATTGAAAAGAATCCACCTCATCGGGACTCGAACTGGCGACCTTCCGGCTTGTAGCATAGTGCCTCAACCAACTATGCTACCGCGTGCCCCCGATATTATAGTGACAGGGAATAATAATTGTAGAGAACGCGGAAGGGGATGGTCATGCCTTGATTTGAGGTTCTGTCGTGTCATTTGAGTAAAATGACCAAGCGCGGCTGTGTTACGGCGCTGTCGATGGCTGGAATGTACAGCGGCTGGACTCACATAATCCAAGAAATATCTCAGTACGGAACCCGAACATTTCCGAATGCTAACCGTCGTCAATGCACCGTGCATTGCATAACAACTCGCTCACCTGCCGGCTCCTCATCCTCAGTCTGTTCCGGGCTTGTTTGCTGCTGGGTGGCGTCTTCATTCCCCAGCATTCCGAGAAAGGGGTCCGTTACCAGTGGCTGTGACGTGGACGTGGTGCAAGTACTCGCCGCTGGTGTGGAGGTTGTGACGTCATCCCGCAGTGTACACAAGGTCACCATCGCATCTGGATTGTATGTTGGCGGTACCTTGCCCATGATTGAAGCAAGCATTTCGCTTTCATGCTGGGGCAACACGATCTATGGCCGATTAAACACAATTTGTTAATAAGAAGTTTCGTTTCGGCCCCGAATTTATTTCCGATATTATCAGCAGCCTCCCTCTTCACTGAGTTGATGTACTCTGTGGTGCTTGTCAAGCTGAATCCAAGTCGCTGATATCACAAATATAACAGCAAATGTATTACTATTGTTAGTATTATTCTGAAAACTATTAAAGTAAGCATAGCAGGAGAATGGAAAGCATTATACGAGGGCTATTCGGAAAGTAACCTCCGATGAGCTGTTAACAAAACAAACAATGAGAACAATTTTATTATGTACAAAAAATGCGTACATAGTTAAGCTACTTCTCAACGTAGTCACCGCCGGAACTGAGGCACTTCTGTCGAGGAAATTTTGTATGCCTACGTTAAAGAAGTCTGCCGCCTGTGAGCTCAGCCACGTTTCGACACCTTCCATCAATTCATCGTTACTGCTGAAGCGCTGTAATCCCAAACAGTTCTTCAGGTAGGTAAGCAGATGGCAGTCACTTGACGAGAGATAAGGGCTGTAAGGAAAGTGGTCAAACAACACCTAGTTGAAAAGATCTAGCAGTGCTCGAGTTCGAACAGTTGTATCCGGACGCGTATTATCACGGAGAAGTACTATACCGTATGTCAGCATTCCGCGTCTTTTATTCTGAATCACCCTTCGCACTTTTCTTAGTGTTTCGCAATATACCTTCTGATGTTACTGTGGTCCCTTGTTGCACGAATTCTACCACCAGCTCTCCTTTCCTGTACCAGGAAACAGAAGCTATTAGCTGTCTAGCAGACAACGTTTGTTTAAAAATTTTCGGCTTCTTTGGTGAATGTGTGTTCATCCACTGCTTTGACTGCTTTTGGTTTCAGCATTCACGAGTGAAACCCAGGTTTCATCACCTGTTACTGTTACGAAGTGATCGAGAAATTCATCGCCACTTCTGCGGTATCGCTCTAAGAAATCAGAGCCGAAGGATGCAATTTTCTGCATTCTGTGTGCCCCCGTAAGCATTTTTAGCACCCATCTTGCGCAAAACTTGTGACGATAGCCTAGCCTAACTGTAACAGCCTCGTAGAGAGCAGTGCGTGACACTTGTGGAAATTCAGACAACAGTTCTTAAATTGTGAAGCGCCGTTTGTCNTGTTTTTTTTTTTTTTTTTGGTCAACACTTTGAGCAAGATCATCACTCACTTCAGATGGCCGGCCGACCAGTTCGTTCTTCTTCATGAACATTTTTTCTCCCATCTATGAACATTCTACATAATTGTTTTATAGTTCCTTTACTCATTATATTTAGGCCGTAAACCGCCCATAATTCAAGATGGATTTCGGCAGCACTCAACTTCTTAGCGTGAAGAAAGCAGATAACAGCAGGATTACCAATCGCAGGACACATCATAAGCCACCCTATAGAGAAGAGAGCACTATGTGACTAGTTATGTGATGTGACGTCACCTCAAATGCACGAGCTCTCCCACGCTCCTGCAATAGTTGCTCAAAATAAACGGAGGTTACTTTGCAAGTAGCTCTTCACGTTTCGAAATCTTAAAGAAATGTTATTATGGTCATCAACGCAAAGGGGTTAGTGGACGGCATATGTACTGGGAGATAAGAGGTGCATAGTTGAAGAGAATAGAATACTTGGGAGACCCAGGCGTGGCTGTGAGGATAATATTAAAATATATCTTAAGGAAAGAGTGTGTGGATTGGATTGAACAGAGTTAGAATAAAACACAGTGGCGGGTAAATTAATTCATGAATGAAGGTAGGACAGGTCACTTTCTTACCTGATTGGACGAGAGGTCGTGAGAAGGGGGACAAAACGTCTGCTCCAACGATCGCATGGCCAGTGCGCACGTGACTGCTCCCTCTTCCTGCACCTGCTGATTGTTGTTGTTGAAGGGGAGCGGGCTACAAGAATCTCTGGCTGATAGGTGACCGTAGCACCCGTGACCAGCTTGGCGTCCATTTTCCTACAATGTGTGCGCTTCAAAGTATTCATCTGTACACAGTGCATTATATTATTATATTCCGAGTTATAACCTCAGTCACTAATACACAAGAAGTACAATTGCAGTGTTTATGTTGAGGCCACGGAAGCAAGTCCGGTAGATGGTAAGGATGACGACGAGTACGTCTTCCTACTTTCCGTTTATTGCTGTATTCCCTTGCATCACACCCTGGCGTGTGTCAGCAGGCCAAAGCGCTGGTCTCTGTGTTAATGACGTGGCTATTAGTGCTGGCGTCCCAGTGAATGAACTGGCGAGACAACTAAGTAACGACAGGCGGAAATACGTTCGAGAAGAAGCGTAACACTTGTTAGGAGAATCGATCCATCCGACTTCTAGGTGTGCCCTCAACGTAGTTACGGCTTTTCATCATTTATCATTAAGAAGTCAAAATCAAAAATAAGTCCGGTGCTCATTTTCAGCTTACTTTCCTAAAGCAGGCTTATATCTGTATGTACCCCCTCCCCCAACCCACCTATCGTTACTAAGCAACAGGGTTTCCTCTTCCACGAGAGGAGGGATCGGGCCTGAGTGAGCAGACGGAAACTGAACACTGTGTAGAGCGCGCCTAGATGAGGGAAATAAGTGAAACACGCAAAAGATTCTGGGTCTCTCCTAGACATGTATGTGTTTTAGAAATGGGTTCTTCTCTTCGGAGAGAGGATGGCTCGGCCTTTCAGGGTAGGTACTCTGACTTAGCAGAGCAGCGATCACACCCCTCTGGCAGAAGGAGACTAAATATAGCTATTTTTGAATATCTACCTAATATATCGAGGCGGACTGGAAAGAGAAAGCTTTAATATAACCCCCCCCCAAAAAAAACACAGAACAGACGACCATTGCCAGACATCAGCGGTAAACATGTTACTGCTATTGCTAGGCAACGGCCTTCATATTATTTTCTATGTGTAGGCAACTCCAAATGTTTTTGGCCCATTCTCCCTATTTTTAAAAGCAAGCTTATGAGCATCGCCTTGTTCTGAATCTTTGTGTGTGTATTATTCCCTCCCATCGTTGCTAGGCAACGGCTGGGTAAAAAAAATCCCGCGGCAAAGAATAAACACGCAGCAGTAGAAGAATTGCTGGACGCGTAGTTTTCTATGTGGTGCTTGTTGTATCAAAGGAAAATAGTATTTTCTTCCCAGCCCTTCTTGTTTTTAACTGTAACTCCAAGCTTGAATGTGCAGAGAAATCCACCCATGACTTGGTCTCATATGTACGTAAGTCAGCCTTCCCCAGCACACACAGGCTCTGCTTAATCCTGTATTCTAGTACACTGTAGACTGTTTCCATGGCAACATGCTTGTCTGTTGTGAAGGAACAGGACGCTGTGCAGAGGTAAGGCTGCCTGAAATGGCATACGCTCCTTATCATATTTCAGGAAAGTCTGTCATTCAATGTGTATCGTGTGGACATCAATCTCTGAGTCCAGGGAAGAAAATGCATGTAGAGGGCAACACATGCACATCCTTCGAAATACTGTAACATTTTTCGTATTATCAGATCGCGGAAAACCAGTGACTGACGCAATCCTACACGTGTTTCATCTTCGTGACAGGAGAGTGAAAATGAATTTTATGCTTCAGTTGCAGACATATTGTGTACAGTTTTGTTGACTTGAAAATTAATTCGGGAGAAACATAAGCTGTGTGGGACGTGTGACGTGTTCCTTACAGTCACCATTGCTTCAGCTTTCCCTGGCACTCCCCGCTTTTCCTGGGAAGATTTTGAGGAGAGTTACGAACATTTCCAATGGCGAAGAGAGATTTCCGCGACCGAAATTGAGGTTATGTTAGTTTCAAATTTGTACTTCAATTTAGGATTCATCGATTTATTTATGTGTTGATATTCACAGATAACGAGGTCATGTGGAGCTCCTTGCACCTATTCAGTTGCCACTCAAGATGTAAGCATGGACAAAGCAGAATGGCAATCGAAATTTTAATTTGTAATGCTTACCGAGTGGTATAACTGTGGAGATAAGAATACGTATCTCAGAACAGTACACGTAAGTGAGGCCTACCTACGCAACTGAGTACTTGGTACGGTTATGGAAGTCAAATCGAGGCACTTAGGCCAAGCTGGGCACGTAGCTCGGCAAATGCAGAAGATTCATGTATGAACACATTCCACGGCGAGGAGACCTCGCGCAAAAAACCGGCCACTTTGAAAGATCAAGAAGAAGGATGGCCGATTAAATTAAAATGGACCTTCGGTAAGCAGATGATCAGCTGACACACTGGGTGGTATAATGAAGAGGCAATGGCCCTCTCGTTTCCTTCATAGAGAGAAACTTCTTGAACAGCTAAATAATTATAGAATGACAGGGAAATATTCTGCAATACGGTACTTATTAATTAATTAATATGAACGCATCACGCATGATAATCACATTAACTTCCTGCTTAGCTGAATTTCATTCTTATGTCATAACCATAGAGTGTCCATAGAGTGTGTGTCCCTCTTTCAACTTCTGAAATAGTTTATACTCTCAAAATGTTTAACGAACATTATGCAGTTGGAGGCTATCCAAATGCCTTGCTTCTTAATTTGATACAGTATCCAACATGGCGTACGCGGTGTGAGATGACACTAGCGCCAATTAGTCTAGGATTCTTAAAGGAAGTATGATAGCGTATTTTGGAAAGCTATGCAAGTTTTGTTACGGTATGATGTGTACTTGTATCAACCGTCTTACAGTGCACACAATTTCACCCTTCTCTTCACTACATGTTTCGGCACTAGTGTGCCATTCAGGTGTGGTTTTATTTACGTCCAACCATTGCACTGTATGCCATCATGTCTCCTTTATAAAATGATGGCATATAGTGCAATGGTTGGACGTAAATAAAACCACACCTGAAGATGGCACATTAGTGCCGAAACATGTAGTGAAGAGAAAGGTGAAATTGTGTGCACTGTAAGACGGTTGGTACAAATACACATCATGAACGTGAATCAGTGCAACAGGACGCTAAAATATAATTTTGTTACAATATATTTAAAGTAAAATAAAAACATGGCGGCCTTGTTACACTTTTTAACTTTCGATTTGATGGCGCTATCTAATGAATCGTTGGATCTGGGCAGATGAAATGTAAAATAACAATATGTCTCTCGTGAGATAAATTTCTCCCCCTTTCGACTTCATGGCGAGAACTACCGAAGAACTTGTATTAGGCTTGTAAACTTGATGTGGAGATAGATAGTAACTATATCTATATATCACTCATAAAATATTGTTTGTATGTCAACAATTACAAATGTGGTGACGGTGCGAAATATTAAGTTTACAAAGAGATACTGGGTTTTCGGAATTTGTCCATCGTTCGATTCTAAATAACTAAGTGACTGAGGCTAGCTCTTTCTAAGGGACCCAACAGAGTAGGTGTCTTCCCTCACCTGAGGACGGAAACAGATTCAGTTTCCGAAACGTTGCTTTTCTTTCAGAGTTATTTAGAATCCGGACGATCGAAAAAGTCCGAAAACCCAGTATCTCTGTGTGTTATACACCATCGTCAGAACCCTATAGTATTAAGTTTACAATCGACACATTTAACGTAGAGAGATTCTGTGCTTAAGCGAAATGTTCTTCAAAAAATGAGATAAAATAAAATAAATAATATTAACAATAATAATAGATATGTAGGGTTATAAATATGTGAAATAAGAGCAAATGCTATATGACTTCTGATCAGAACTCTTGCCGTAATTTGTATGAGTGAACTGCCCTAATTTTTCGCTGGGTTTAGTCATGACTAGCACTGGGTTCGTTGCTGGTTTTATCACATCATGGGATCCATGACTATGGATATTACAGCAAAGTGTCTTGATGTATTCGGCCCGATTAAGAGTTAAAGAAAATGATATTTGTGTGCTTTGTCATTATTATTATCATCTGGTATCACTTTGATCAAAGGTTTTCCAAAACCTATATTATCAAAATTTACAGTTCTTTAAAAAATGTGTTTGTGGAGAATGTTTTTATCTGAATGTGGAACTAGGAAATTGCAGCCATCATCTACGTAATTTTCGTCGTGTTTTCATTATTTGCACCAACCCTTATACACTTAAACCACAACGGCTTCTATGTACACCACATGCTGTGACATTCAGTTCTCTGCAGTTTGTTCACAAAGTGCATTTGCGTGTTTCGTGTAATTCTCGAAACACTCAACAAATGTGTACCCCGGATGGCCTTTGTAATAGATATGTGTTGTGGTTTCTGTGAGACAGGAATCGAATTTATAAATTGTTTAGATGACATTATGCTTTGAAAGGGCTAAGTTTTATTAAGTATGAAACCCCTGTTTCCTTGCTCATTTTGAAAGAATTTCACTTCAGAAATAGCTACGCTTTATTAAGTACGCCTTTCCAGTTACTACAGAATTCCTTCATAAAACGGGCCCGGATTCGATGCCAAATCACGTGACGGATGTTTCACATTCTGATATTTGCCTTGCATTCCTGAAGAAGAGCAAAACTCTTCAGAGTAATTCGTTCCGAGACAGGCTGCTTATTTTGCATTCGGAACAGCTTAAAAATTTTTCTATTCGATATGTCTGTTATAATTTCAAGGCATTTAATCCTGATTTATTTTTAATTTAACGCGTGGAGTAAAAATTTCGCTTATTTTCTTAGAAAATTGAAAATTAAATACTATCAAAAACTGGAAAAGACAGACTTACAGAGCTAACAAGGCATAGATTGTTCTTGTTTGCCCCTCCCCCCCCAAACTCTAAAGAACGCAAAAATTCAGTGCGCTAGGACGAATAATTTTTAAGAATCGAGCAAGAAAAATTGTTTCTCAGGCTTTCCAGAATTTCTGAGGGGTAATTAAACTAAACAAACTCTCTGAAACATACCCAGGGATGTCCTCCACAATATTTGTCATTTTCCTAGAAATCGACGCGGCGGAGTCGAAATGTACAGAGATCGAACAAACAAACGAACGAATACGCACTTTTCTTTAAAAGTTGGATGAAGATGAAGATGAAAATGAAGATGGGTGCAACTCTTCTGAAGCAGTACAAAGTCACTTCTTGGAGAACAAACAGAACTCAAGTCAGGTTAGGAGAACTTTGAGATAAATGATGTATTTTGAACGTCGGCGAAGATATTGAACTTTGCTCTTATATTTGTTTCACGTACAGATTTGTCCTGTATATATATGATATAATTTGTAATTAAAATTTGGACTGGTGTCATTGTTAATATACACATTTAGCTGTATCTTTATTCGAAAAAAAGAATTAAATTCGGTTCTGAATGCAGCACACTGGGTTAATTCATTTTGCAGTAGGAAAGAAAATTGCTGTGCACAATCAGGAAATTACTTACTTGGGAACACGAAGAGCTGCTGAATCCCAGCAAACTTGTTGGTGAGCACCTGATCAGATTGGTGAGGTCTACAACTCCATCCCCAAGAGGAGATGCAGACAGAGCTCGTTTTCCGCCCCGGACATTTGCCGATTTTGCAGAAGAGCGTCTGGTGCTTACTGAGGAGCTGCTCACATTCCGCGCGTTCATGTCTGCTTCATTTTGCGCTTGAAAGTGTCTTGATATTGAACCGATCGGTGGTAACATCTGAGACTGATTACTAGGAAATTGGGGAGATATTGTTAAGGGTCCATTACTCCCATACACACATCCGGTGTCCCCCGGAAATGGGGTTACTTCATCCGAACATGATTGTCTGCCACCTGCATTATTGGTTGGTGGTGGAGGCATGATGCTCACTTCCTCCCCATATTCATGTCTGCCCAAATTGCATAGTGGGAAATCAATAATTGTATAATTTTCGCCGTTTTCGACTTTTATTTCTTGCTTAAGTTCTTGAACGTGTTGAAGTCTCGGCCACTCTGCGTTCTCTTGTGGGTATGGTGAATGGGTTTCGCTTTTAGCGGACACTGGAATGAGACTCAGAGAATAGTTGTGTTGACTGTGATCACTAAAATCCGTTTCTGTACTTGTAACCATAATGATGTCACTTGTGGATAAGGGTATGTCTGACATGTCCTGGGAATATGACGGAGAATGGAAAGTTGGGAGATCATGGTTTATGAAGCAAGGAACTGTGGATCGTTGTGGGAGAGCATATGGCGTTGAATTCATGGTTGAGTGACATGCTGATGGGGAAGACGTTGAAAATATTCCAGGAGATGGTGGAACCGCCGTAGTCTCAAGGTGCATGTTGTGTCGCAGAGACGCTCCGCGCCCTGTAAAAGTAAATCAGTGTTCCTTTTTATTTTCACATATCAAAATTAGGTCCATTTGACGTAGGCTGAAAGAATGCAAAGTACATGTAGAGCAAACATAATTACTTTCTTCATATTCCACATATTATGAGTTTTCACAGTACCGCATATAAGATTCGCCGCGAAATTAGATACCGTATTTAGTTTAAGTAATTACCTGTAGATGGGTCAGTAGTGGTGCTATCTGTGGAGAGCTGCTAAAGCTAAGCGTGGAAGACGCGACTAATTCTTTTGGACACTTTAGAGTACCATATTGCATAGAAATGTCAAGAAATTTTGTACGTCACTATTTACATATTTTTATGAGGTATTCTATAAAATCACATTAGGGATAAAGTTACAGTTCCTTATCAGTAAGTCTTCAGATGCTTGGAATAATAAGTAAAATATGTTGCTGTATCATTTAAATGGGAGAGGGACTATCAGTCGCCAGAAAATCCATTCTGTTTTACCGGTCCGTAAATCTGACAAGACGAACCGCCATGAATGCTGCAGTTTCCGACAGCTGCGGGACAGAAGGGTTGCCAGGCATCCTGAGTTTCCATGGTATAGCAACGTTTTACTTAATGTTTATCTCTGTGTACCTCATGGACAGACCAAATCATTTCATTCGTATCTTGATATCCTGTTTTCCCTACTGCATTCTTATTCCCTTTTCATCCTTACTTATGCAATATGGTGTGTTTATAATACAAAACGTAAAAAAAGAAAATATTACACTCTTTTAGTCATCATATTCACAGTTAGCCAATTTCTGGTTAACAGAACTATAGCCTTCCGCAGCGTCAAGTACCGGGTATATCAGCCACGATGTAGTTTACATGCTGAGATGGGATTTGCCATTAATTTTTAGTATGCATTACAATAGTTTATAAACATTTGAAATCATGAGACGAAACGTTAATAAGGGAACGAACAAAGTTCAACTAGTATTAAGTACTTACTTGTAGATCCCCCGCTCTATTCCAAACGTGAAAATGTCTTACAAAGTTATAATTATTTCACTAGCACCGTACTATAAATTAATGAAATTAAAACTACATAAAATAACATTGAAAACGGAAAGAGGGCCAGTGTGAACACCGCGAAATGAATCTGACCTCTGGCTGTCAACTACTGAACGTGAAATAACTGAACAGAATGTCATTCAAGAATCAGAGAGACACTTGCACCATACGAATAAAAAAATGTAATCCCTCGCTCCTCTTCCGTTGGTCTCCACAGAATTGTCTGCAGTCTCATTGGTTGAACGTTTTCAGCAAGGCGTAAGAATATCTTATTAACTTCAAAGTTACACATGCGTTAGGCTGTTTCAGACAGGATCATGTGTGTCGTTAAATGAGAAGCCATGTGTGCTCTTTAAGGTCATTATCGCTTGTCGCATATCTCAAACATGCTTCAGACACGCCTTGAACCCAGAGTTGCATGATACACTTTACAGGATATGTATTAAAGAATGAAGCTGCATTCTTGTACAGAACAAAAACAAACACTACTTTATGAAGAACTTTTCCATTGTGTTCCAACATTTTCTTAAACACACGAAACAGTAAATCTTTCGTCATTAGCGGCAGAATAATGACTAGAGCCTAGGTCTTAAATTGAGTTTATTTATTTTAATTCTTTACGTTTCAAAGTTTTGTAATCTTTGCGTACCTCTTGTTGGAACACCATTATTTTTATCAACAAGGATGTGTTGATTTAATTACGACGGGAGAATAACGGGTAAGATAAACCAGAAATAGACTAAATATTTTCTATCTATTTCTATCCTTCCGAAATTTCCACGTGTATCGCCACACAATTAGTAATCCATTGAATACAATTGACATTGCCCAATTGAAGTGTACAGTGCGCACGCCGCTTCGGTTGGGAACCGTGAAGAAGAATCGAGCTAGAAGACACAGGCCTAGAAAAGGAACGTGAGGGTGTGGGGTACAGTCCACTAAGTGCATGGTCAAGTGGTGCATTCTTCTTGTGGTAATGATTTTTAAGGTTCCATATTAACTGGGACTAGACTTGTGCAACCCGTCTCGAAAATCTCTTTGCTCCCGCCAGGGTCCCTCCATAGGTTTGTCGTGTTCAGTGTCCACACTAAAACCCTTCTCCCAGTTTCATTTTCAAACCTCAGTGAACATGAATATGTTTTCCATTGCATGTAAATCATCATCTTCGTATTCTTATTCTTGCTTGTAGTGACCATCCTTCGGGGCAATTGCTTTCTGATGATCTTTTCTTCTTCATTCGTTCAATATGGCCACGCTCTTCGAGCCCGTCTGTTTAGTAGTTTCATTACCAGTACAAAATGTCTTCTATTTCTTCTCATATTGTTCCAGTATTTACTTAATTTTCTCTCATCATTCAAATAATAAATTTCAGTCACCGTTACTTCGTTCCTCAAGTTTTCAGTAAAAGACCACGTATATCTGTTTGCTTATTTATATTAATGGTCAAGCGACTGGCACAGGATATGTCAGTAAACTGTATAACCCTAAATTTACTTAAGTTCAAAATGTCACTCAAGCAGCATAACGCAAAGGAAATCACATATCAGCGCGACAGATCATGACAATCTACTAATTAATAAGACACATTTGTCTGCAAAATATAAAGTATGTTGTAATCCTGAAATACCGCATTTCTCTTTTTAGTTTCCTGATTTTATCTGGAAATTTATTCTATAATTTAATTCTTGTGGTTACTGCCATTTTCTTAATAAAAATTGGTTCTGCTAAACTCAACATGGAAGTCCAAACTTTGGATGTATTGTGGATGTCAGTTTTCGTGTGTTTGTACCAGTTTCTGTGTGTTTATTTTTATGTTGCATACCATTTTAATTCTATACATGCAAGTTTCTAGAAGTATATTGAGGTCCTTGAAGACTTGTCTACGTGAATAATATCTCAGGACATGACTGACTGATTGTTCGTGCACCCTATTCTGAAATTTAAACATTTTTCACCACCCCAGAAAATCAAGTTACGTCTCAAAGGAGTAAGGAAATATGCAAAATGAATGGAATACGTGGACTCTGTATATCCTTAAGAGATTAAATCATGTTACAATTATTACTGAGTATGCCGCTCAAGAATTTCACGTGTTCATAACATTTCTTGTTATCATGAGCGTACACGCCTAAGAAATATTACCTCCATCAACAGCATACATTCAACTTTTTTTTTCCTTAGCACTACAGCCCTAGTGGGCCTAGGCCTACCTCCATGAACTCCGTTCACTTCGGTTTTTCTAGATCTTACATATTCGGTAGGACTCCTTGGGCGAGTGATCGGCTCGTCGCAAGGCCTCTACCTGTAGACAAACACAGAAAACCGCACACAAACATCCATGCCCTCAGTGGGATTCGAACCCACGATCCCGGCTTCCGAGCGAGCGATGAGAGTGCATGCCTTAGACCGCTCGGCTACGGTGACCGGCCATACATTCAACTACGTTGTGAAATATATATATAACATATTTTATGTCCTTGGAAATATATTTATTCCATGACAATCCTATGATTTTTTCTTTCCCATATAAATTTTGTTTTAAATGCTTCCGCCTCATGTTCCAATATAAGTTATTATTGACTCTTACTACTTAAAGGCTTCAAAATTTTAAACGAAACCTCCTTCTATGTAAATAATTCAACGTCTTCCACCCACACAAACGTACATCTTATTCAGGTTGATATTAAGAGATAATTCTTTCCATTTCTCGCTTTTTAACACCATACAGCTCAGCTCTTCATACTGTGCAAACATCATTAGGTCACCGGCACAAGAGTAAGGATTTATTATGTCCTAATTTCGATCTCCATCTCAGAAACTTCCTTTCGAATGTACGCCTATTAATCCATTTCTGGTCTACTCCTATGTGTCACATTGTCTTCGAATCGTGACATATTTTGAACTAAGATCTATACTAGCGTAAATTTCTATCATCAAGTGAAGCTGATTGAAATTATTCGAAGTCTCTCAGGAAGTTCTGTCTGAGGTTCTCACAAGTATGGCTATGAAGTGTATGCCACACTGTGCAATTTAGTATATTCTATCAAAGTTTCGGAGGAATTGACTGTCTCCATCTTCAGAGCTTCTTTTCAGGGCTCATTTTTCGACCTCGAGAATCGTGGCGGTGCGTTTCTTCATAAGGTCAACAGTTTTCTGCTGGAACACAGGGCAAATCCAAGAGGACAGAGTTTCTTTTTTAATTATTTTTAGTTCAGTTAAAACTGAAAGGAAATTTATTAATATTAAACAATTAAATACAGACTTGTGATTTAAATTCTATTAGGACTGCTCACATTTCTTGAGTGGTTGAGCTACAAATACGTAATTGTATTCTTTTTTACTGAGCCTCTTCTCTTGGATTTTGTCTATCGTCTCGTTACTTTTAGGACTACAACGTCCCGAAAAGTGGAGCTGTATCTGTCATCGGATGAACAAAATCGCCGTGCTGTGTGGTTCTTAGAGAGCTACACTAAACCATTAAAGTCTTTTTGTTTTCGAGACTTTCGAAAGAGTCGATTTGTTATATAATACCTTGTGAATAGGAATTTTGCTGCGAATGGTGGTCTTTCACTTTTCACAGTGTCAATATCCACGTGAAGTCATTGCTAATTCTTGGAACTTGTATACTGAGGGTTAGAATTCGTCCTCTGAATTTGACAGAATAACCTTGTCATCTGAGATTAATGAAGTTTCATTGTTTCGAATTTTGTTCACAATTATGCTGCTCTGTGATACAAGTCGCCATATTTTTTATGTCATTCATGTAAATTATATGCTAAGTATTTAAACTGAGTGTTTCCAGCCATGACGAGCACCACTAGTTCTTGTTTTTCCTTCTGAATAATCTGTTACAGATTTGAATGCCTACAAATATAAGAAATACTTGCAAATCTGAAATGTCTTATTCTCTCTTCATAAACAAGTCTTTATGCTGCATTAGAATAGAACTGGCTT